GGGTTATTAGTTCCGATGTGCCAATTACCCGGAGGTATTAAGGCACCATAAATAATCCTCACCCGAGGACGCTCGAAAAATCCCCCTTCAGTGGGTTATCAGCTTAAATACACATCGGAAAAAGTTAAAGTTAAATACAATGAATGACATTTTAAATTTTATATTTTTTGACGAATTCGCTGATCACAATTTACCAACGAACTATCGAAGGCCACGTAAAATAAAACCACGTATAAATTATATAGAAGTATTAGACGAAGTTGACTTTAAAAACAGATTTAGAATATCAAAAAATAGTTTTATGATATTGTTAAAAAGAATAGAAAACCAAATTCGGCAAAATACTGATTGGTATGTATTGTACAGAATTATATATATGTATGTATATGTTTATAATTAATAGTAGTAAAATTGTGTATAATACATTAATAAATATAAACATAATTTTTTTCCTATAATATTTTAATTTGTCTGTTTTTTAACAGTAATGATGCTATTCCACCTATCATACAGTTATTAGTTGCCCTACGTTTCTACGCAACAGGATCTTTCTTGCAAATTATTGGAGATTTCTGTGGCATTAGTACATCTAGTACTCAAAGGATTGTTTATCGTGCATCTTGTGCTATTGCTACGTTAAGACAGGAGTTAATAAAACTTCCGTTATTACCTGAAGAAATTCGTCAAAATGAGGAGGAATTTTATCAAACTGCCAAATTTATTCGCGCTATTGGCTGTATGGATTGCACTCACATAAAAATACAATCATATAGTGAGTAGAATTTAAATATATATACATATATATACACATTTTTTACATAATAACCTTCTCTAATACAGGTATAAAGAAAGTGAATTATATCTAAATAGAAAAGGCTGGTTTTCCTTTAATGTACAAGTTATCGTTAATACTAAATTGGAAATTATAGATATTGTGGCACGATGGCCAGGATCTACACATGATTCCACTATTTTCAATCATTCACGAATAAAAAGTTTATTTGAAACAGGCACATTTGGTGACAGTGTACTTATAGCAGATTCTGGATATCCAAACATATCGTATATTGTGTGTCCATTACAATCTCCGACAACAGCTGCAGAGCATTTCTATAATGAATCTCAAATCAGAACGCGTTCAAAAATCGAACGTTTCTTCGGTATATGGAAGAGGACATTTCCAATTTTATCTGTTGGAGCACGTTTTCGCACACCTGAGAAAATGCTTCTTGTTATTGTTGCAACAGCAGTGTTACACAACATTATTCAACACGATAAAGAGGAAATTATAACTAATCCCGAAGCATATAATAATGCTATTGTTTTAATGCAAGACATAAATAAGAGTAACAGAAATGTCACTGATGTGTGACGTACAATAGTGAAATATTTTGAAAGGTAATGGTGACAATCATTAGTCAAAAGAATATACTGTAATACTACATAATAAACTTTTTTTATAATAGATTAATTTTTTGAGCACGTAAGAAAGACGTTACAAGACAACATGATAGGTGTGTGAAGAATGGCAAGGATATGCAAAATCGATTATTAATATGTATTTACATTGATATGAGGCAAACATTTTTATTTAATGAAAACTTATTAATTAGACTTTCAATGATAAGTAAGTTTAATATAATTCATGAAAATTTTATTTTACAAACTTTTATACATTTTGTACTTACAGTTGCATGTACAGTTTGTATTGTATACATAATACATAAAATATAGTATAAAATAATATATCCACTAATACTCTTGTACCTATTTTTATGAAATAAATAAGCGTATATCTTTATATTTTGTATTTATTCTCATTAGAAAAATCTTTTACTACTTATATATTCATGTGTGTATACAATTCATATATATAAAATTTGTAAAACTAAATAAAATTAATATATCTGTAACATTCAGAACATTAATATCACATGTATTTCTAGCAACAGATAATAAAAGTTTCCTTTTTCTATCATTTAATAAATACAAAACCCTTTAAATATCGCATGTTTTAATTTATTTTGGCACAAGATTTATTTTTTTATTTTTTATTAATATAAATGAAATAATCTTTAAATTATTGATTTACTTTTAAAACGCTATGAATGCATCTTAAAATAATCTTTAAATATGAATATGCTTACGTATTTTAAGTCTTTGAATGTAAATAAAAATAAAAAGAACATTGATTTAATGTTAACAATCTAACCTAACAAAACATATTAATATTGCAAAATTATATTTGTAATGTTTGACTTAGATTTTAAAAATTTTATTTGTATTTCCCTCTTTTTCTTTTTCGATTAATACTTTTAATAATTCGATTTTAAGCTTTTCTTTGTCTAATTGAGCTTTCAACAATTCTATCTCATACTCCTTCTTCTCTTCCACATTTACTTTCAGAGTATCTGCTAAATCAGTCTTTACCTCATCTAATGTTTTCTTTGAATATTGAGTGGTTTTTCTTTTCTTATATGTACTATCTGACGATGACGCCTGTGTATTTGACGATGATGCCTGTGTATTATTTTTATCTTTCAACGGAGGACTTATTTCTGATTTTAATTTATTTGGATCCCAAGACTTCCAGTCTGTAATGTTTTCGTTTTCCATTAGATACTACAAAAAAAAATTTAATCTTTGTAAAATTAATATTCCTTATTAAGCAGAACAACCTAATGTAACATTCTAAATAGTACAATAACAAAAAATATGTAACTAACTGAAAATACTTCATTTGGATCATTTTCATTTGAATCATCATCGTCGTCCAGAATTTCAATATTTGTATTTTCTTTGTCTATCGCATCAGAATCAAAAGGATTCATCAATCCATATGTTGATGTCTCACCCATCACTTCAGTTACACGCTCTAATAAAATATTTTGTGTAACATTTGCTACTCCTCCACCTACAAATGTAATAATAATGTATAAAATATTATTTTATTTATATTCTGTTAGAAATTATGAAATGGTGATCTCGATTCCTAGAATTAGTTTCGATTCAATATATGTATCAATATTAAATAATACTGCTAAAATGTGTTACCATGGAATTGACTATATTACATGTATGTTTATGTTTATCTTCGCATTTTGTTCTCTGCTATTCTGTGTGATAAGATCTGTATTGCCTGTATTGCTATTACAAATTGTTCCGCATTTATGTGTTAAATGAATTGATTGCTTGGATTAGTTGTGAAACAATAAACATGTATTTAATAAATACATTGACTCAATAATTAGCGCTGGTGCAAGTGCGCATATCGATAATATTTCATCATATTCTTATAAAAATTAATACCTGTCTTATAACTTTCACGTTTTATAGCTGCACAATACTTCCTTGCTGCTTTCTTCATATTATCCCAACAGTTACGTAAAGATTTTTCTGATCGAGGAATTGTTGCATTTACATTATACTGTGCAGTAATATCAGCCCATGCTTTATCTTTTTGTACCATTATTAAACGGTCACTTTCTTTATTCTCTATTACATCGCGTTGTAAAAATATGAAATTTATTAAACTTTTCTTTTCTGCGTCACTAAAATTTTTTTGACGTTGCATCTTTTTTATTCTGTAAATAAAAGTTATTGTTTTCTATTTTTTCTAACAATATCATAAAACTATTTTTTGATATTTATATAATAAAACCTTTAACTTTTTCCGGTGTGTATTTAGCTGATAACCCACTGAAGGGGGGATCTTTCAAGCGTCCTCGGGTGAGATGATAATCCACTGAACTGAAATATGAGGTTAAGGTATCATGAGGTAGTATGATAAGTTGGCCGCCCTGTTAACTTTAACCGACGGTTAAGCTAACTGTGGTTGGTGAAATTGGCCCTTAGAGTACGATTACACAGTGGAGTACCGCAAGGGAGCCCTACACCACGTGCCCGATGCCTTGTCGCGGATGTATGAAGGCGCGGAAGGCGGAAGAGTAAACGCCGCAATTGAGATCGAAGAGTGTGAGGGTACCAGTGACGAGTGGTATCGCAGGCGGTATAGGGAGGTAGCGAATGACCCGAAGCGGTTTGCTCATTGGAAAATAGTTGATCGGCAGCTATACTTTTTGCGACCGCGACCGGTGATTTCGGACATAGTTGAGGATTTGGACCGGTGGAAGCTGGTATTGCTGAGGGAATTACGCGCCGAGGCCCTTCGCGAATCCCACGACGCGCCGC